ACCTCAAGCAAGGCTATCGTTCCCGTACCACCCCCCCTCCGAACACTACTGATCGTACATACGTAAATGTGCTTCATAATAAAAAAAATAGCTTCAACTTATTCTAAACCAACTTAACCTGTAAATAAAATGAGTTTCAAGTGTAAATAAATGAAAGAAAACCGACCGAAAATAGACGAAAGCCAACATTATAAAAGCAGGATATAAAAATCGATACGAGATGCGAACGAGAATCAACGGCAATGGCATCGCATCATCAGCATAAGCTAAGGACATGGATGCATCTTGTGTGCTGTGTGTGTGTGTCGTTTTGTGTGCGCATTTGCATATTGTCCGCAAGATATTAATGAAATTTGCTGTCAATGTATTGCAGATTTGTTCATCGACATTCATGCAATGCATCAGCCACTTTTCGTTTCATTTTTCCATTCGGCAAGCGAACAAAGTGCTGGATATATATTTTTTTTCTCTACCATCGTAAAAGCGCATTTTGAAATTCAACGAACCGTTAATATGTTCTCACACAATATCCGATATCGACTGTTCGCTTGCTATTGGATGGCGGGGATTTCACTTCTTTCAATTCTATTTATTGCTTGTATTATTTTCGTTCATCGTGTGAATTCGCATTTGCATCACCACTCAATATCTTTTGGTGCTATTGCCGTGACAAATTCTCAGTGTTTTTTTTTATATTCATTTCATTCGATTTTGTTAGCCGGAAAGTGTTCGTAAAGAATTTTACATTCCATTTTTTTTTGTGTTCACCATCGTTGTTCGTTTAAGCGAACGTGTATCTGTGCTCCTTATCGCGTTGTGCCAAATAAATGCATTTTTGCTGTTGTAGGTTTTGCATTTTCAAAAAGCGAATCATTTGCCGGGGTTTGAAGATTTGTGGTGAATAATTGTTGGTATTTGCTCAGTGATCTACAAATGATTAAACTGAGCGGCCAATTTTATTTGTGTTTGCACTTGGAAAAGTGAATATAAAAAAAACGCGTTCAAGTGTCGAATATAATCGCCAGAAAAACAAGTCGGTTTTTTTATTAATTAAAATCGTATCTTTTTCTGCTTATTTCGAAAAGTTTATCACACAAAAAGAAAACAAACAAAAAGTGGGCGCGAGTGCAATGTACAAATAACTATCTCCGCATCGTATGCGATGCGATAAAAAATGTTTATTTGCAAGAGAAATCTTTTAACGTGACATATATCCTGCAGGCGATTACAAATTGATATAATTTGTGATTGTGATAAAAGTTCAGCGAGAGAGAGATGGAATGGGAGAAAGAGTGAGATCTAACAAAGTGTAATAAATGTAGACACATCGAATCGGTGGCCGAAATGAGTGGGAGAGAATGCATATTTTGCAAAGCAAACGGAATGATGCGAACTGAAGCAACGTGAACGAAGAGCCAAAAAGCGACAACGAACAAAACTAACCCGTCTCACACAAAAGGAATGTGCCACACAATGAATTCAAAGGTAGAAATGAAGCAATGCAATGAACAATACTTGCATTTGTGATATATGAACAGCAAAGCAAAGTCTCTATCTGGCGAAATGGTGTCGGATGTGGATACCGCGTAAACCATGCGGATTTCAATTTATTTATTCGTTGCTGTCGTTGTCGTCATCGGTAGAAGAAAACCCAAAGCACTAAGTGCATTTATTTCTGACTCGATCGCTCTCTCTTTCTTTCTCTCTCTCTAGCTTGCTTTGTGTCTACACCCCTGCAAAACATTCTTTTTATCATGGCTTTTTATTTTATCACGAAATATTTTTTTTCGTCCATATGCAACGTCCTTTTTTCTTCGCCCAAATAGGATGAAGACTGGAACTATTCGAGCAAAATTATTTAATAGTTGGTGACTTTGTGCAACTTTTTCTTTTGTTGCAGTTTATGCGTCTTACATTTCTTCACTTTAGCTTTAAACATTATAAAAAAATGAAGAGAGAACAGCAATTCAATCTCTTTTTGGCCGCCGCATGATGAAGAAGAAACCGCTTTTTCACTCATGCAACTCGACAATATCACGGTATTATAAACAACGGTAAAATTTATTAATGCTGACGATTTTTTTCTTCGATGAATTCCGATATTAACTGGGCTGAGACATATTTTGGAAATATTTCAGTATGATTGAATTTTGAGAATATATATTTAATTAGATAATTGTCAATTTCACTAAAAGATTCTCAAAATAACACATAATTGATGGCATCATTCTTTACAAAAAAAATCTTTTCAGACTGTCTACAGTTACTCCATACGCATCAAAATCCAATTCATGCATTACATCAATGTATGTGGATAATGGTGATGTTATGTGAATTTCATGACAAAACGAAAAAAATAAATCGTTGATAAAAAAGCTGCGAAGAATGTTCCAAGACAGTATCCAACTTTTACGTCAAAATTCTGGTTTAATGCAAATAAAGATCAAATGATAAGAAAAAGTATATTCACAAATATTGATTTGAGATGACACATCAATTTATTTTCAATTTGTATATTTTTTATATGTACATATGCGTTATGTCATGATGATACACATCTTGAAGCGCCACATGAAGACAAACTTTGTCAAGTCATGAAATGCGAAGATAAAAGCTCTTTAGAAATGCATATGTTGACTCTTTACGATTAATTAATAATAAAAATTTGAAATCCTTTTCAACAACGACATACATGCTTTAAAAAAATGCTTTCTGATTGTGCACGATAATTTTAATTTTATGTTTATCTAAACATGTGATATTTTGAAAAGTTGATGAGAAGTTGTGAATTGTGCACACACATATATGGATTTTAAATGATAAACATAATACTCCTGATCATATCTAAACATAGCGCGTTCTTTGTGTCATTCAATACTAATGAGTCATTGGTTGGATGGTACAGTGGCTTCGGGTAGGGAAGAAATAAGGAAAATGTCAAAAATATACGCAGAAATATAATATTTCAAATATTAGAGTTGTGGTCAATGTTCATAAAGGGTCGAAAAACAAAAAAGCATGATCGAACAATAATTTTCCAAACTAAATGAATGTTGAACAAAAGAGATCGGGCATATTATCAAGTTTTCGATTTACAAATAGCATAATATCGGTATAAAGCTCTTTTAATTATATTAAATACTGTACGCTTCAGAAAACCGTTTAATTCCGTATTTAAAATATGCACAAATCGAAAAGTCTCGGAAAATTGAAGTTTTTTTTTTGGAATCAACATAATTTACATCCACTTTACACAGCACGATATATTCTGTCTATGTGTTTTTTCTGACGAAATATCCTGGATGTAGTACCTTTGATGCACTGAACATCATCAGCTAACGTTAAGAGTAGAGAGAAATGTGAAAAACACTTAATATGATTATATTTTAAAAAGGATACGTAAGTGTAATCTCAAAAACCCACAAGATTGGTCTTGGTTTTTGTACTTGAATGAATTAACAAAAAATGCACTCGTATCGATGAAAATAATCTACGAAATAGCTCTAACATAAGAGAGTGTGTGAGAGAGACAAAGAGATGGAGAGAAAGAGTATATATATGGAAAGCATCTATGCAAAATATGAAATGTTAAAGATTATGAAAATATTTTGTTCGGAACAATATTCATCCGTCTATGCCATAATACAGGGTGTATTAATTTTCATACGGAGATTTTCATACATTTTTTCGAAAATCGGATACGGGGATGACAAGAATTTTGTTAGGGGGCCAAATTTTTCTCTGACAATATTCAAACCCTAGAAATCCCACCTATGATCGTATAAGATTTTCGAAAATCAAAACTCACATTCGCCAGTTGTGAGCCACTTATGTGAACCACCCTGTATACCGAAATAAATTAAGCAACAGCCAAGTATTTTTAACACATAAAACATGACCATGATAAAATCATTAGTTTTGCCAACCAATTGAAATGTGCCCATGTTATTTACAATTATGTGGATTTGTATTCTTACCATTAAATTGGTATTCATTTACCAAAACCTTATAAATATGTTTATACTAAAAGACACACTCACACAAAATCGTTTTTGATGTGGCTTGTGGCTGAGCTTTGGCACAATAACAATTTATGCTTTTGCCATTTTCAAAATGGTTGCACTTTCTGCTCATTGCACACATGCAATGCATCAATAAAACACATCATAGCTTTCTGATTGCCAGTCTCTGAACCAAAAATGTATATTTAATTTATGTCGATGTTCGCAAAAAAAATTACCGTTTTTTCAATTAGTTTGTTGTTTACCCTCAAGCTATTGTTTTATTTGCCGGCCACAAAGGCAAAGTGATAACACAAGGTTTATGTATGTCATAGACTGTCTTCTTGACAGAGAACACACAGATGTATAAAGTTTGCATAATTTTGAAGAATTGAGTTGTCGCTTTATATTTACATGTACATCTGAGCCTTCAGGAGTAACCATACGTTATTGTTTTTAAAGCAAGATTTCAGAACTTCAAACGAGGTTATCTAAAATTAAATAACACCTGAACACTCATTTGTGCACTTCAAAGAACAAATTGCATATTTTTATTTGATGATAGCCGTTCACGTTCATCTATTTTTGCCCACATTTTTTTCTCGTTTATTTGCCTAAAATCTGATCATATTTATTTAAATAAGTAAATATTGTCCGCTATTTATATCTTCCATAGAACTTTCCAATTGAAATAAGAAAACCAGAAATAAGAATTTGAGTTTGAAAAAAACTGTACTAGGTCATTGGGCCATAGTTTCTTTATTTTATTAAAATAAATAAAATTCCAAGCGCCCACTTTCGACATAAAGTTCTATATGGAAGATAGCGAACAATGTTTACTTCTTTAAACAAATATGATCATATTTTAGATATATAAACACAAAAAAGTGTAGGAAAAATAGACGAACGCAGATGGCTTTCATCGAATAAAAATATGCAATTTGTTCTTTGAAGTGCACAATTGAGTGTTCAGGTGTTATTAAATTTTAGATGACCTCGTTTGAAGTTCTGAAATTTTGCTTTAAAAACAATAACGTATGGTTCAGTCATAGTGCACTTGAATTAATCACGATTAAGTGATCAAATGAAAGAAAAAATGTTTCGGAAATTTTCAATTTTAATTATTTTTGTAATTCGTAAGTCAGTTCGATGTGATTAAACAATGAGTTTTTATATTAATTGACTGCTTTCTTCTTACTCAACTTGAATAGAAAATGTGATGGCAAAAGAATGTGTTAATCAAGAAGTCTATCTAAACACAAATGCAGAAAAATCAAGAAATAATGTACATAGGCGGTGCGATAGATCGGACTTTTTTAACTTTGATGCATCCAAACACGTCGTTTTTTACTACACAAAGTGAGTTTTTAAAACCAAATTTCATCTGTTTTCATCCCTGATGGGTTTCATTTTTTTTTTAAACAGAGATGGCAAAAACTATTCAAAATCTCCACCAACTCATTGCGATAAAGGCGAAAAAGTACTTCTTGGTATTCACGGTTTTTGTGATGAAGTGGATTTAAAAGAAAAATGTCAGTATTAATTATTTAGAGAAATCAGTTTTTCTTTTAATTTTTAATTTTTTTTTTAGATTGGATGTATGCTTTAATGAAAGTGCTATTATCAACGGACGAATACAAATACGGCGTGATCATTTCTTATACAGATTTATGCTGTAATTTTCTATTGGTAAGAGGACGGATAGGAAGAAGTATTGGTGATTATTTATCAAATCACATAACTGGAACACTTGGATTGCGTCCTAGTTCAGTTGATGCATTTGCACATAGTTTGGGCAATCGCTTTTTATCCTATATGGCTGATGATCTGAGACGAAATAATAAAGGTCAACTGAATAAAATTTTTGGTAATTATGGATGTTTTTAAACAAAGACCAACCAAATTCCAATTCAAATTCATTTTCTTTATTCAGCACTGTGTATTGGCTCACCAATATTGGACTTGGGACTCACTGGATTACATGGTGATGATGCAAGAACGGTAGTTAATTTTATCTCTGATAACTATAATTTAATTGGTTCAAACCAACCAAGGGGAGATGTGAATTTCTATACAAATCCTCACGACAGGTAATAAATTTAAATTCCGATTTAATATTATATGAATTATACGTATTGGTGTGGCGGTCCTATTCTAGAATTCAGCCTGGATGCACTTCAAGTGATTGTAATCATGAAATGTGTATAAACTTTTTTCTCGCTTCATCACTTCAATCCATTCGAAATGACAAAGATAAATTCATTTATGGAAAATGTAACCCAAACAGAAATTGTCCTGCAGCTGATTCATCACACAAAAAAGCAGGACCGTATGCATCCGGTAGAGGATGCTTTTGTGCAGAAACCTCGGCTTGTTTTCCATACTGGCCTAAGCCCACGTCATCTTGATACAATCTACAATTTATATAATTTTGAAATTCAAAGAGTGCAACTTTTCTAAGTCATGTTTGTCAAGTAAATGAAATTGTGCAAAAACATTCGTCGTTTTCCTTTTTTTTTTAATTCAAGATCTGTACATATACCTCGTCTCTGTTCATTTAAACATAAATTAACAATTACAAGTCATGCGAGATTTTGTATTCACCATCGAAGTTCAAAAATATTCATCCCATAAGCTACATTTCAATTTAACACGTTCTTTGTCATTCTTTTCCGTAGACACCAAAAAAGTAAGTAAATGTGACATGACTTTTGACAACTACCAAAATGTTGAATTCCGGTTGAGTTTACGCGACTTTTAAATTGTGTATGAGAAAAAAAAGCATCCAAAAGTTTTTCTGTACATTTCAAATAATTTATGATCGTTGTTAAGAAATCATTTTCTTTCACATTTCATTTTTCAGCGATGGTGGGGTGGGCGTACTTACAATAAAAAGCTAAACAATTTACGAAATTCCAAAATAGATCGACATTCGAATTGAAATAATAAACAAGCGACGCAATATTTCTTTTTTTCCTTTCTTTAATATCATATTGTCATCGTCGACTATGATGAAAAATTAACAATGGACTCATCTCAGCAAAGGCAATAGGAAGGGATGTAGCGAATAAAGTTTTCCATCTACAGTAATCCGAATTGAAGAGCGCAACAAAAAAACCGTCATTTATCTTAATGGTAGATTTTCAAAAAGCCAAAATGTGAATACAATAGGCCCACTTTGAACTTTTTAATGGATATTTTGCACGCTCACATGTACCTGTATCGTGGTGCAATGAATCGGAATTCGGGCACCATTGAGTTAAATCTTCGCTTGAATTCATTCGAAGAACATCTTTAGTATTTCCATAATTTGCCGTAAACAATTTCATATTCGGGATGATGTCATCATCGACAATAGTTTACTTTAAAAAACTTTTGTGCATTCTTCTTGTTGATGACGAAAACAAAAAGAACGAAAACGAACAACTGAAAATGTTTTAGTTCACTTTTTGTTGCTATTTATTTCAGTTTTTGGTAAATTAAATACAATCAACAAAGTTCCATTTTAAATTATATTTAATGAAATTAATTATTTTTCTCGTTCGTCATTTTGATTCGATATAGAATAATGCAACAACACCACCATAAAATGCATCCACATTATTTTATTTTTATTACAATGGAGTGGATGATGCAAAAAATCTCGCCCGCGTTTGCACGAACCCAAGCGCAAAAACCAAAAATGTTATTTTAATTGAATGATTGCATATTAAGTTGTTGTTATTTAATCAACAAAACTTTTTTCGTGTTGCATATTTTGTTGTTTGCGTTCATTTCTAGCCAAAAACAGTATGCAGAAAATGCTCGGTTGTCAAGATTCAAATGAGATTGCTTGATTTATGAACTGTGAATTCATGATAATCGACAATGAGCGCTTCAGTTCTTTTTTTTCTTGCGGCCAAATTGTGTAAGTTTTTGCAAGATAGACAAGAGGAAACTACGTTTTATTACATTTTTGTGTGTGTGTGTTTTGCGAACGGCACACATTCAACCAAAGAATAACGCACAAATCAAATAAGAATAATTCATCTTTCATTAAACGAATTTTTATTGTTTTTCGTGTAGACTATTGTAGACACAGTACAGCAGTTAGTTTTTCATCATTTTCATGTGCGTGCGCTTTTCTATCTGGTTTCATTTGCGATGTGGTTCATCTGCGTTTGCGACAAGCGAAAAAGAAAAATCGATGCCGAAATAAAGTGAAATGTAAGAAAAATACAGACAAGATGATATACTTAAAGTTCATTGGTGTTTTTTTTCGCTTCGCTTTCCCGTTCTCCATTCCAAGTTATGCCTTATAGACATGGATTCAAAATAATCATGAATAAATTCGCAAATGCTGTATATGCAAATCGATGTGATATACGAGATTTAAAATATGACAATATAAAAATATGATATTATGGGGATTGTGAGAGCGCAAAAGCCGAGAATGGGGACATGAAAGTCAAATAAGTGCATGGCATTGCGGCGGTTATCATGACATCTCATGATAACGATGATTGTAGATACAGTTTAGTTTGGTGAAACGATCATTGATTTGGGCAGGTGACGCGGTGCTCCCACATGAATTTTTCTGCCTGGTGTCCTCTCTCTCTCTCTCTCGTATTTATTGATGTTGTTTTCTCTTTTATAAATTCCTTTCAACTTTGGGGCGCGGAAGATGATGCAAAAGAAGAAAATGAAAAATCTCCGAATCCATCAAAAAAAAATGGTTGTGCACAATACGCACAGGGGTACGTTAAAAACCGCCATAAAAAAACGAGCGAATTTTTTGATAAAAGAATTTCACTTGATTTCTTAGCATTCGATCGATTTTGGCTGTCGTCTACTGCGGCATATAAAATATACACATATGAGTATGTGTGGAAAAAATCGCGTAACCCAATATCAATCGTCTTGAATAATAATTTTCTTTGCATCGACAATGTGATTGAAGAAAGATATGTAGAGAGATACACATGCATGAAAATGTCTTCTTCTCTTTTGTGATTTTTTTTTTGACTGTTATCGATACAATTTTTTTTTCGACTCGATTTTTTCCCGATATTTGGTGGGGAAACATAGACGAATACGCGCGCAAGTAGCGCAAAAACACTGTAAACGCGCACTAAAAAGCAAATATGTACTGATACTTGAAGCGATATACACACACATACATATATCTATTTCGTGATATGTAAATTGCATAAAGACACATTTGTACTGATGGGAAATTGAAATCCTGTGCAACACCGCCTGATGAAAATGCTGACATTTTGAATGCCATTCATCGAAGTATTCAAATTTATTCTCGTTTTTTTTTGTGATTTTCTGTTGTAAACGACGGATTTTTGCGTGTATGCGCGCGTTTGTTTGTTCATTGCTCTCTCTCGCTCTCATCTCATAGTCAGTGAACTGGAGTATTGTGCATTACGAACTGGTTGCTACGCAAACTGAACAAGTTCGAGAAAGAAAAAAATTCGAGGAAATTATTATTATTATACGCATCATTATGCGTTATCGGTTTGGTTCAGGTTTTTCGCCTCTCTGCGAAATGTATATTTGTGTGAGAGAAATTGAAGCGCGTGCTGCCTGAAAAGCCAAGAGTTAACCGCTATATCTCCCCAATGATTTTACATAATAGCTTTGCAAAAGTGGTTATAAAGTTACTTTTCTTATCAACAGCCACGATTTTTGTTTGCACACCGCTATTTCAGATTCGATGATATTTACTCGTTTCATCTTCTTCAAGAATGAAAATTACGCGCTCGCATTAAATCAAAAACGGTTTTTGACGGAATTTTTTTTTCTTTTTTTCAAAAACAAAAAAGAAACACAAGAAGAATTCGAAAAAAATTGTAATAAATCAAAATGTGGCGCTCTTACTTCATCACGAACTTTGAATTGATGATTTTCAAATAAAGAAAACTATTATCGATATATCGTTTGCATTCATAAGTGCATGTCAGCATTTGCTGAGTACATAAAATCAAACCGAATTTTTTTTTGTGTGTGTGTGATTGAAAGCAAAGCACTCACATCGGAAACTGAATTAGTGATTCGGATATATATTTGCCATTGATATGTTTGGTTCATACAACTGGATCATGACACTCGCTCTCATCCACTTTATTACCCCCATCAACACACACACAAAAAAAAAACCATTAATATGCCATTAGTGACTGAATAAAATAAGAGATACTAAAAAATACACATTCATTTTTATTATCGCATTTCATGGTGAAATTTATTTTATCCAACTTTTATATTCGATTCTTCGTTGAAATGAAGAAAAATGAAATCATACAAGTACCAGTCTACATTTTAACTGGTGGAAATTAATAAAGACACATAAAACATTTATCTTGGATGAAATTATTGAGTATTTTTCGATTTTATATGAGACTTAGACGATGAGAGCTACTGTTTTTTTATTATTATTTTGATTGAAATGATAATTGCATCAATAAATTATTTATTCTTGGTTCAATTCATTGAAATATTCAAAAATATAAAAAGATTAATTGTGATTGGGGTGAAATTATTCAATTTTTTGTTTATAAATTGATGTGGGTCCCTCGAGAAACGACAACGTTTTGTTCGATTTACATGTTTGAAATTTATTTGAAATTATTTAATTAGAAAATAAAACCAAATGTTTTCTTATGGGAGAAAGGAATTTTACAGCTTTAATCACACCTTAATTGACTAGTGTTATTAAAAACTTATTCCCAAATTATCGGAATCATGAATTTATTATATTTTCATATAAAACAAAGGAAAGAGAGACAGTGTGGTCATTTGACAGTTGTTTGATGTTAATTAACTCAATATTCGAAAGGAGAATATTGTCGTGGAGAAATAAGTTGTCTGTTCGACATCTATTTCAATGGAAAAATTTGAGACACAGATCGATGACACAAGTGCCCTGACGGAACAACCACAGCAGACTTTGTGTCGTTTTTAGTCGACTTATATGGAAAATTTCTAATTTCTTAACATAGAATTGAACTTTCGTACTACATCATACAAATTTGGAGATGAAGATTTTGAACTTTTCTAGTAGATTCTGTTCACTTTCATTCTTTTCGACGCTCATGACTGATGGAGATTGCTCAAAATGTAATTTTTGGTCGTTTTACATCGATAATAACGATTTTTACCTTACGACCATATTTCAGAGAGCCCATAATGACCGAATTTTGTAGAAAAGTGCACCTTCGCAGAAAAAAATGTAACAACACTTTCAAAAATTCCAGAAAAGTCTCTGGCATTTCTAACTGGTTGCAATATTTCTGAGAGCGATTCCGACGAGTTTTTGTACTACACCAAAAAAAAGTCATGAACGATTTCGAATGAGACCAATAGGGTATAATACACTTTAGCTCAGATTGATGCTGCAAAATTGAATAGGTAGTGTCAAATCTCATACGGATGTTATGCGAAGAAAAATTCTACAAAAAAGAGTATGATTACCAAAAAGTGCAAAAATAAAACTTTTTTTTTTCGAAT